TCCGGAAAGCCTCTTGCATCGGAGATCATTCGGAAGTCACGGGACTGCCACTTTTTTGTGGCATGACTAATCCACTTTGCAAATCATACGATTTGTATCAAATACAATCTAACCATAATGTCTATCCAATAATTTCAATGCAAATTATCGCTACATTTAAAGTCTAACGGTAATGCTAAAAGCATATGATTACAAATATCCAATTATAATGCAAACATCAGATGCAAACATCAAACCATAATGCTAAAACTTGTACAAAACCATCGTATGACTAGATGATTAGATCCACACACATTGACAACAAGCGATTTATTACTACTGTATCTAACCGTAAAATGCTAACAAGATCGCGTTCAAAAATCATAAATCGTTGAATGCGTTCAACGTCCAATACTTCAACGCATATCTTTCGTAAATTAGATTCGCACATTAGCAAAAAAAAAGAGAATACATTCGATTGTCATAAATCGTACTGTATGATGATAAATTGTGTGTTCGGGAACCAATAATTCAACGCACATCATCGTATGATGCGGTTGTATGTTCGCCTTGGAATTGATTTCGTTCGTTAGATTCTCACGTCTTTGTAAGCCAACACCATTGATATCGACTAGCTTTATAGTTACATTATGCTAATAAAACAATACTTGCAACAATTATTATTTTTTTATTTGCTTGGTAATTCATTAAATAACCAACAAATAGCTATAAATACCATCCATATATGTCTTCTCTCTTCATCTTGTCACGACATAATTTGCTTAGTTATATAAAAACTATTGTCTACAATCTAAAATGACTTCTCAGCAAGTCTTCGTCACTCGCAACGCATTTGATACCATTATTGACCAGTATATTCAATTAGCACGAAAGCAGAAGAGCCAAGCTATTTATTACTAAAGAATACCCTACCAAAAGGGAAGAAGAAAAAAGCGATGCAGGCTTATGCGGGTGTAAAGCAATTAAGATCTGGAAAGGTAGTTATGGATATTTGACTAAATATCCTACCTGATACTAAATCTAAATCATATGCGAATACAGTTGGTTGAAAACTCTCAAAAAATTCTACCAGTTGGGAAACTATTATTTAATACTCAGTGGGAGACATGGTTCAAACGATATCTGGTAAGCTTGCCGAAGACAAAGTTGAAGAAAAATTGAATGCAAAGTCTAGAGGTATCTGTTGATAAGGCATTAAATTAGTATCAATTTAATATTTTTAATAAAAAACATGTTATTATAATAATACATTCATTTAAGATTAGTACCAATGCATCACGCAATAGTGCAACAATTTACAGGAAAAAAATGAAAGAAACTATTAAAAATCAAAACACAAACTTAAAAAAGGCGATACTATGCTTCTTTATATACCAAGCGCAGACAGGGGTAAAATGGGTTTGCCGTGTAAGATATTAGAAAATTTACATCATGGATTTATAAGCTGGGTTGTGGAATAGGACACCTTGAAGTCAATTACAGGGCGACAGACTTGTATCCAGTTACAAACGGCGCATACTTTCCCGAACTGGGTACTATACCAACTGAAACAATATCTCTTCGACAGGCTGCACTATCGCAGAGTTTTCTGGCATTAGGTGTAACTGTAAGACTAGCTGTTCTAATGCAAATCCTCACTGCACTTCTGACTGCCATCCGTATGTTAAAAAATGTACGAAGAGTTTGAGGTTATAAAATATACTATTACTAACAGAATGTGACTTATTATATTGCTGTCCAATGCAGCAATGTCGAAACTTGTTTGAAATTACGAAATACGATAACTTTTATAATTTTGATAATTGTAGTAACCATTATTTATTTGCAAATACGTTCTAAGTCGGATTTATTTAACAAATATTGTATATTTAGAACGTTTAAACCATTCAAACCTCAATCTTGTCATTATATGCTATCCATCGCTTATCTATAAAAACACATCTATTATAAATAAGCTAAATTGTAACAGCAACAAATATTTACCTAATATATTGTAATAATTAACGAAAGCTCGTTTAAAACTAAATCAACTAAGTATGTGACGGTTCAAAACTGAGACGACTGGGTTCTGGACTGAGACAGGTCCCAAACTGAGGTACAACAATAGCATGTATGTTACACGTATGATTTTCATATGTGTAACATGATACAGCCACAGCTGCTTTAGTACGATAACGTATCACTATTTTTTTTCGAAAAAAACAATTAATTAGCTTCACAACGGTACCTAAACCATTATGATTCACTAGTAAATACGTATAATCGAGATTTTAGAAAAAAAATTTTTTTTCATGTTTTACTAGTAAATTTCAAGGAGTGATGAATACTTTTGATCACCCACTGTATGTATAAGTATAATTACCTTGAACGAACTTATTACGCCCTGATCGATTGGCTGAAGATGCGAACGTCTCCATAGCTTTAATGTATTCCGCCGTCGAATGTACAGCCCCCTCCAAAAAAAATACAAAATTTTGTAAACATCAAATTCGCACACATGTAAACGCAAAATTTTACTAATGTAACTGTACTTCATGCACTAATTAAACTGTTTACAATATCATTTTACATGTAGTTTTGTAACTTGTATTGATTAACGTTTATTTTCTCTGTTTAACCAAATGATTGAAGTTAGTCTAACAGTTTCGCCGATTTTGCCTTCTACTTTCGATCATTTGTAAAGTCGAAATCAACTACGCTGCTAACAAAATGTGTTTAGAATGTGTTGAAATATGTATGTTCAAATTTTCATTCAATTCGGATGAGAAATAAATTTAAACGCAATCGAAAATTAATCCCTGTAGGGTATGTTACACACAATATATGAATGTAAA